TTTTAGCTTAAAAATAATAGTTTTTATACATTTATATCTAAAAAAAATTTTTTAGTGAAAAATAATTTTTTTTTGATTTTTTAAAATAATTTTGCATATTTTGAGTCTCAGGTCAACATACTTTAGAAAAACTTGTTTTTTTAATATGTTAGGGACCCGTCAAATTTATCCTGATCTACCCCTAAAAATATTTTTTGTCAAAAAAAAATTATGAACCTAGTGTTTATATAGAATAAATTAAAGGGTTCAGAGCAAGTTTTTCCTGAAAAAGTTGTTTTAAGAGCTACCCTAGTGTGCAGGCTCAATTACTCTCGAGTCCTTAATACAAGTGGTGGGGGTGTTAATAAAAAGGGAGGGAGAAGGAATTTTAGTCCAGATCTCATAAATTGAAGCTAGAAACTCATGGAAATTCATGGAAAACATAATTATTTTACCTAATTTTTAAATTATTAATTCATTTTTTCAAAAAAAAAAATTGAATAGAGATAATTGAGTTTTTTATTTTCCTACTTTTATATATATATATATATATATATATATATATATATATATATATATATATATATATATATATATATATATATATATATATATATATATATATATATATATATATATATATATATATGTATATATATATATATATATATATATATATATATATATATATATATATATATAAAATATATATATATATTATTATTATATATATATATATATATTATTATATAATAATATATATATATATATATATATTATTATTATAAATAAATTTGTGCCCTTCAAAGTACTTTTAAATATTCTGTGATAGAAAGTTCAAATTTTTTAAAATTGTATTATAAAGTTTAAATTTTTTGAAATTATTTATAAATTTATTTTCTTGTTTTTTAAGGAAAAAGATGTTTTTAAGCTATCAGATCATACTTTTGAAAAACCTTGCTCTATTGATGTCAGAATCTGAAGCCTTGCAACAACATACTTTTCGATATGTAACTCATGTTATCTTCATTTGTTATGGTTTCAAAATTACATTAATTTCAACCCGTAGAAAAAACTTTACCTTTTAAAAATTTCGATTTAGATATGGTCACAAAGTTACTTTTAATTCGGAGAGAAAATATTACTTTTTGGAAATTCGTAGAGAAAACATTACTTTTTGGAAATAGTAATTTAATATGTAAATTTATCTCCTTTTTAACTTCAAATTAAATAATAAAACACTGGATTAGTAAATATGTAAATTAATATAATCTAATCATGTGCAAAAATGAGCATTTGAATATAAATAAAATGTGTCATTTTTCAGTAAATTTTAAGTGTGAAAATTTTAAAATTTTTATTAAAAAGGCATCTACTGTTTTGATGCTTTGAGTCAGACATTGAAGATATCAAAATAACATTTTAAAGTTTATAAAGTCAATCTTTTTCAACAATCACAACACAGACTAATTTGTGTGATTTTAAAAATTATATTAACTTGATCCTGTATATTTGTACAAACATATCATAAGGTTTTTTTTATAGTTTATTTTGCTATTATAATATTAATATTTTTATGTGTATATTATTCATGATTTGTATTTATACAATATTCATAGTTTACATGTATAAAATATTCATAATTTATATGTATATAATATTCATAATTTATATATATATATATATATTCAATTCGATTCCCACCACGTCCCTGGTAGTACCGCGCTCAACTCGTTTCTCCGCGCAGCGGCCTTGTTCGTCAAGGTTCGTGTTTCGGAGTAATAGAGTTGAGAGAGGGTTATAGCCACAAATAAGTAGCCTCCTTGTCTGTAGTGGCCGTCTTGGCCTTGAGGAGGTGAATTAAAATAAAATAAAAATATATATATATATATATATATATATATATATATATATATATATATATATATATATATATATATATATATATATAATATTCATAATTTATATGAATATAATATTCATAATTTATATGTATATAATATTCATAATTTATATGTATATAATATTCATAATTTATATGTATATAATATTCTTAATTTATATGAATATAATATTCTTAATTTTTATATATATACAGCGTTCGAAATTCAGCTTTTTTGGCCTTGTCAAACAAATGCTGATGTCTTGACTCAAAAAGTACCATTAACTTTGGCATTACTTAGGTAACTTTTTTTTTAGGTGCCTGAAGGCCTTGTGGACTTATTGGGGCATAAAATTTTGCACAATATCCCTTGCTCAAACCCACCTCAGGGCAAGTTTGCAACATCGGTTAGGCAGGCAGCATGAACTTCCTATTAAATCCTATTCTACATACTCTGTAATAAAGAAAAAATAAAAAATTAAAATTATCAAGTCTTAGAGATTTTTATTAGGTCTAATATTCAAATAGATAGTCAATTTTAGCAAATGTAAGTTGAAGGGCTCTTTGTATGATTTCTTTTATTTAATTTTTATTTGTTTTCAATAGCTAATATACCTTCAACCGGGGTAAGTTTGGTCGTTGGGGTAACTTTGGTCAACTGTTGACTTTTTTTTAAATTCCTAAAATTTAACAAAGATAACATGTTTTAGTTATGTTACAAATACCAACAACATATATCAACAATTTTTGGTATATCAACAACTTTTGTGAATATAGGACAGTTAATTCATAGACTAAATTGACATTTTTTATGTATTTTGGAGTTTTTTGACATTTCTGATACACTTATTAAACCATTTGGATTCTTAGCCGGTGAAAACGCCAAGGAAATATAGGTGAAAGCCTGGTTCAAGAGCATATGCAGCTACATACAGTCAAGAAATATTGTCCAATGCTAAGAAAACATGTTTAACTGGAAGAATGAGCATGCCAAAGGCTAGCCCACAGTTTGGAATTCCATTGGGTACACTTAAGAACAAGTGTAAAAATGGACATTCGAAGAAGGGACACTGTTGCATCTGAGTAATGAGACTGAAACACATCTTGTAACTTCAATCTCTCCAACTGGGAAATTCCATTGACTTCAATAGATATCAAAGTTCTAGTGAAAGATTACTTGGATCAATCCGGTGTCCATGATTCACGGTTCAAAAACAATCTTCCCAGTAAAGACTGGTTCAAATCTTTCATA